GCGGCACCGAATTAGAAACCTCGCTTTCTCTCTCTTCCTCTCCCTCCCCTGCCTGTTTCTTTTTCAGTCAGTCGCACGGTGGCTCGATACTCTCTTTCACACCGTGGCATTTCTTTTTTTTCCCCCCGTAGTTCTCTCGTATACCATCAGCTAGTACGCTATCTTCTTTATGCATTCAACCTTTCTGTGATAGCTCTCCTGCTCGCGAACGTGTGTATCTCGTAAACGCGCGCATGTGAAATTGCTTAAAGGGGATGAACGGCCGGGATGACGTTCATGAAATGCTCTTTACGAAGCTATCCTCGTGAAACACTTGGGAGTGGTTCTAATCGAAAGCTAACTATCACAATTAAATAGCAACAGAATATCTCAAATAAATTTATCCAGTTGCGTATATAAACTAGTTTACAAACTGAGCTAGTTACACATTATAAACAACCGAAAACTCTGTTGAGAATTGATAACTTTGACAGTTCCTAAGTTTTTCTATCTCATGTTTTTATTGTAACTCTTTTTTAGTCACGCAATTAGTACGATTATTACAAACTTCGTATATTGTAGAGCAATGCGGTAACGCAGTATTAAGTGTAAATCCTCCGTATTACGAGGAATATTCTATCATGTGAAATATATGTGCTGCAAAAAATGGTATGAAATTGAAATTCAGATAAGCGCGACATTGTCGCGACAAAAGCAACGTTCGATTAAATTGCGATTGTTACATCGATCGGTGTTTGAACTGTAGTCTGAATTGCTCGATGGATGTGAGTAAGGACGGCCAGCACGTGTCGACTGCGTTTTCGACGACGACGCGTAATCGTCCGAAGAGCAATTCGAAATGACAGGCACCGCATGTTCCGAGTCGAGTCAAATAATCAACGTAGCGATAGCATACCGCAAAGTTGCGTTATACCAATTATCCGTTAGTATTATGCAATATTTGTATTCGCCCGCGTATATGCGTCCGGCGATAGGCTCTTCTTACAAATTGCAACTTTGCAGTTGCTGCACTCGAAAAAAGCTTCAGTACAATTTGTTTCTTCCCACTATCCTCCTAAACGACGCCGTTTCTTTGTGGAGATCACGGTCGAAGACTCTCTTCTGTTTAAACGCTTCTCTTTCGCATAATACAAACGTCGACCACTCGTGATGTTCCACATAATTCCTGACCGTATTGCAACACTAAAAAAAAAATGTTTCGCTACCGTAGCTATTCATGATTTGCTAAAAATATTTTGCTGCCATAACTATAAATTTCTAAAGCATAGCAAACGGTTTGCTGTCGCATCTAACAATAGGCACAGTAGCAAAATATTTAGCTATCGCAACTCAATATTAGCTGTCCATATTTTACAACTGAAATTTAGTTACCACGTGCAGTTTTTAGCTATAGCAATTACATTTTCTTTTCCGTGAAACGGATTTTATTTCATCGTACGGAGCTGAAAGGAGTGCCACGCAATCTGACTGCTGACTGTATAATCGAACGTAATGTCCATGACTGACATATATGAGGAATAATTACATAAAACTCACCGCGTCGTCATATTGCTCGGAAACTTTTCCTTTTTATTCGCAATTTATGCAGTTTTAGTTATTTGAAATTTATGTAATTTATCTTTTAAAATTGTCATCGCATACGCGTTATACATATATATTGCATATACATATATATATATAGAGCGTTTTACATGTACAATATTCAAAATATCATATAATTGATATGAAAAATTTGCGCAAAGCACAGTCAGAATGTATATGACGTTTTTATCACACGACAATCTATTCATTCATGACTGTAGTTAATAGCTCGCGACTCATTCTGCTATGACCAGCAAAAACTCGTTAGTCGTTGTCAAGTAGAGGCAGTTAAAAAATGCAAACGTTTAATTATAACGCGTAGCGTATTTCGCGAATCTCTCTTTTCCACGACCTTTTGACGTTGATATGCTGAGCAATTGCGACGGAAGATAAAACGGCAGTTGGAAATCTTCCCCAGGCCCGACAAGGAATACAGAGATATGTAAATGAAATGAAATCTGTTTAGCAAAAATTTCTGACTTTGAGACACGTCTTCCGCGGTGCACTGTTAGTATTTTCAACAAGAAATCATTTATCTCTTAGATAAGATAGACAATAATTTCTTCCCAACAAATTTTTAAATTTTTGAAATCTGTTGCCATTTTTAACATTTTGTTACACTTTTCTACATGCACTTAATTATCTCATTACAATATTATTTCCCATATATTTTTCAAGATTGTTTGCGAAAATCCAAAATTGACTAAGATACTGTTCTGAAAAAATTCGTAAAAAATTGATAAGGGAAATTACAATAAATAAGATCAATTTCAACTTTTATATTTTCTAAAACTGACGCGAATCAATTCGCAAGGAAATCAAGAATTGAAAGATGGTCGCGAGTAGACCAATTTTAATTTACTCAGAAAAACTTGTAGTTTTTATAATTTATTTCAGTTATCCGTCCGTAACCTAATAAATTGTAGAAAATAGAAAAGTCAAGACTGACCATAATTTTTTATTTTAGTTAACTTTTTAAATTGCAAATTTAGAATAGATAAGTGATTTTTTGCTCTATTAGTTAAAATGTAAAAGTGGCACACAAAATATTGTAACTGCAATGATATATACAAAACTTAAAAGTAGAGATTATTTCAGTAAAGAAATCAAACAACTATTTTTATGCTTATTTCTAGTAAAACAAGTGAGAGTGATATACTTTTTTTATACCGCGATGGCATCGAAAAAATAGAATTCACCAATATTACATCGATTTTAATCCCTGGTAAGGGGTACATGAATTAGAAACGAGACGTGGATCACCGACTTGAACCGCTCTCTACTTTGGCTGTTAGAATTACTTTTGTCGATCTCGTCGGCTGAATTTCGGCGTACGTGCGCACTTGAACTTATTAAATTTGTTCTCCTTGCACGTTCAAAAATATGGAACTTTCGCAGGTGGAGGTTGCGCGGCCTCTCCCGTAAGGAAAAAACGAGTTTGCCCCGGCTAAAAAGAGTCCAGAGAAATTTCGCTTTACTCTCTACTGCGGCGTGGATATTCGAGTCCCCGATTTTCCCCGGGGAGAGAACGGGAACTTCCTGCCCACCCGAACTTTATGGAATCTCTTTGAGCAGCAGCCATTCGGCCCGGAGAGCAACTCCGTTTGGAGGATTTCGAAATCCCGGCGAAGATAATAATAAGTTAATTCCCCGCCTCCCCTCTGCGTCTTGCACGGTACCCCCGGTAGCCAAAGTTAGCCAAACGTGACGATATGGAGCGAATCTGCGACTACTGCTTCTTCCTCCTCCATCTGCCTTCCTCCTCGACAAATCGGCCGTCTAATTCCATTATTCGGCGCCGATAAACTCGAGCTAACCGTGAAACGAGTTAACGCGCCATTTGGCTTACGTGTGGATAAAACTACGGGATATGTTGCGTTCACATTAGAGAAATCCAAGTCGTAAGAACTTGAATATCAAACGTATGTGAAACAGACGATCAATTTATTCGTTAGAAATAACGAGTAAAAACTTCTCTCTGAAAAAAATACAACCGTCTCGATGTAAATAGACAATAATATTCGGTTTATTTACAGATAATATGCTAAGTCAAATCGTAGATATATCGGTCAACTCACTCTTCGATTGATTGATTAATGATAGAATGTCAGAAAGATTAAATCTTTTAAAGTGACTTGTCGTCACAAGCAGTTATTCGCCAATTAAAATAGTTTGTCGAATGTAATTATTAAATTACAAAATATCTCTGAAAACAGGATAACTTCTTCTACCAGTTGTTTTTAGTACTTTAGTTTCTATATCGGGTGAATTATTATGCAACGTATTTATTTATTATATTTTCTTGCGGAAACTTTTTTCTTTGGTGGAACAAATCGTTGAAAACGCTGGTAAAATGTTGAAAAGATCCACTTAATAAAAATAGCTCTTATCCTCTCCAGAATTACGTACTTTCGATTTAAACGACATATAATAGCGATATAGCACGCAATTATTGGTTAACTGAGAGTCTTTCAAAGTCCTCTGTAGAGTTACGGATTAACTCTCCTCTCTCACGTCCACTCTCGCGTCCGATGAAAATTACATTGCGATCATGCGACTCCGTTTAATTTCGTTAGCGTGCTACCTATGAACTCTACCTCTCTCGGAGTAATTTCCGATCGCGTAATCGTAAAGTTTTCGGCATTCGAGCAATCATCGCAGTAATTCAAGTACAACTTAGAAACGATTTGCAGTATCCGAGCGCGCGGTATCATTGGCGCTCGATCGAATCTTATAACGCGATAATAACCGCGGTTTCCGCAATTGATGGGATGATAATGCGAGGCCGAAAATTCGACGGTTGCTAAAATCACAAATAACATATCCGGCCGTTTGGCTGGTAATGGCGAGGTTTCGGAGCGCCGAAACACTCGTCGTGGCTAATAACGAAGCGAATTTCCGATTCGCAGTTCGCCGACCGAGCTTATTGAACCATTACCGCGGCACGCGTCAACGGCTCCGTTCTGGCAAATCGACTATTTAATTCCGTTATCGACGCGTCAGTAAATTCCATGTAATGCGAACCGCCCGCGACGGTTAATTCCGGACTGCCATGCGTCGAGCGATTGACGAAATGAAAATCGGTTAAGGAAAATCGATTGATGAACGCGCGCGTATACAGATTCACGAACGTGATAATTAAAGTCCGGATTTTGTTACAACCGGCGATTGAATCTGGGCCAGTGCAATGATTCGAACTTGTGCATGTCCGTAATTAAATAACTGTACGGGGATATGTTCGTGCGCCATTTATTCCGGCTTCCTTTTTTAATCTCTTCAATATAATGATTATGTAATCTTTATCTTCAGGCGAATTTAGCTACTTCAAATTTCTCATTGTTCACAAATAGGCATTTAGTATGAGACATTATGATATAATTTATCCCCGTAATAAAATACACCATTTATTGCATTTACAGGCGGAGATCGAAAGTCGTGATATCCTCCGCGAAGCCTGAGGACAGTGGCAGATACGAATGCGTGGCTGAGAGTACTTCCGGTCATCGGGCCTCACTTACGGCTCAACTTCTAGTCGCTCATGATAACAGAATTCCGGAAACAAGTGAGTACACATTACTTTCTTTGCTATAGTTTACCCCAATTTTTACGAAAAAGTGACAATGTTTATTCGGGTATACAGAAATAACAGCTGTAATTGAATATGACTGAATAAAAAATTAATTCCTAACTCTCTATATATAAATAATAAAAAAATACTGCATTTAATAATTAATTGCATATTGACTAAAGTGCATCATGATCAAAACATACTATTAAACAAGTATTACAAATAAAAAAATTAGATAAAATAGCATCTATGAGAAATATGATATCGTCAATGAATCATCGAAATAGTGGCTTATCGATCCACGTGCTTCCGATATAGTAAAATCGATTGGCGAAGATTGTAGTTAACCGAATGCAGGATTTCACGAGCCGATCGAAACGCTTATGTCTGTCGATATCTTACGCAGAGCTTTCGGATAGAAACATTCGAGATTTGACCTGACGTTATCGTAGCCTCCCGTGTGCAAAAGCGCGAGAAGCTGCAAATCACTGATCTGTGTATCGTCAATCGTTACGCTAACAGTAGAAAACCCCTATGATCTTTCATCGTCAAAACCTTTGAGAAAATACATTGAATTTATTCTGTTGGAATGATAAACGAGCTAGCATCGATAAAGGATCGGTTAATGAGTGTAACGAAACACGAATGTCTTTTGGACCGGTCAACTTTTTACAAAAAGAACCGTTTGACATTTTACTAAATGGAAAAATTTCGTGGATCGTAAATAAAATTTCACCACGAGATTCGTTTCAATGTAAAAAAAACAACGCGACGCGATCATTTTCCGCCGAATTGATTTCGAAATATCGACTGATTTCACATTCGGCGAATGTGCGAAGAAACTCGTGACTCATTCAGCGTTTCCGGATATTTATACCGAATGCATCCATATTTCATTTTCTCTCTCTCTCTCGTCCGTTAATAACGATACAAAACTCGAATATCCAGCCGTTTATTATTCGCAATTTTTGACGCGCTAAAATCGACAATGACACGAGACAATATAACATAAGAGCCAGATTAAGCCTAACAGTGACACTTGTTCTCGCGACCTCGCAACAGCGGTCGATCGTTTTAACTCGACAGCCATTGAAGGTGTTCCAACATCGTCATTTCCAACCGTAATCGCGTAATAAATTCAATTTCATCGTGCGTCCATGAACGCGACAAAGAACAAGTGACGTCCGTTTATGAACAATCTGAGCGATCGATCGTTGCATCTCTTACAGCCACCGTTTTCTCGCGTAACGATGCATGCCGCTGGGTATATTCGCAACGTGCACCGCACGAGCGCTCGCGACGATCCGCAGTCGCTGCAAGTCGCGGCACCGATATCGATCCGTGCAACGGCTGCCCTTAGGGTAGTGGTTTATGGCTTTTCATAATGCTCGCAATATTTGGGCCACGCCTTTTACTGCAATATTTATGTTATTTCCGGATATATTCCGCGGAGCGCGCACCGAGTTTATCGATACTCACCCCTATTTTCCGCATCTTGCCGCCGACTAAAATAATAAGCGTTACCTGTGGGAAATACTACGAGAGGTAGTTAGAATTTATTATATGTAACTTCGGTATTTATACGATCCATTATCGTCTAGTTATACCGAGTAGATACCAATAAAGAGACACTGACTTTATGACTTGTGCACCATAGACTGCGCGCAATTATAAATAAATTTTCATGAAATTTTTCCTTCAAGCTTACATTAGTTAGATAGATAAAATATTACGAGGCAATAAAAAGATATACCGCCTAGTCATACTTTAGAGGAAAAAATGCTAGACTCACTACATGCAACTAGGAGAGGAGCGAAAAGTAGTTTCGTGACACGTCTCTTTGTACGACATGGAGAAAACGATAAAAGGAAAAGATAAGTGGCATTAAGGATATAAAACTGAATCACTGTGCTCCGTTATCTGCGAGCGAACATCTCCATGCAGTTTCATTCAATTCACAGTTATACGATGCGTCAGCAGTAAACTCGCGACAACAAGGAAGCAAAGACTGTTCGCGCACGGGTCGGCATCGCAGGTGATAAACCAAGGATTAAGCACCTGATGCGATAATGCTTGTACGGCTCAGTGGTTCTAGCAGGGTCGGTAAAGCTTGCGGTTCACCGCCGAGCGGTTCCGCAAGCTCGTATGACGGACAAAGGGCGACAATTACAGCCCCTGCCAGCCACGTCAGGGTTTCATATAGCCCTGCTGATGGCAGCCCGCCGGCGGAATGTTTCCGTGCACGATGATTCTATACAGCTCTACCTACTGCAGGTCGACAGATTGCCATAATGAAATTTTCTGCCGCTTTTTTTAAACTTGCTCCACTCCTCACTTGTGAGCGACACGTTCGATGAAATCAGGGAATTTTAGACTCTCAACGAAAATTGAACATCTCTTTCGTCTATCGAAAACAATTTTTAGAAAGGAAGTAAAGTCTTTTCCGCTTGCTTCATGTAAAATTATTAATTATGAGATTTATTAAGTTTCATCAGCCAAAAGAAATCTTGTCAATCTGTTAAAATCTCGACTTATATAATTAGCGAAATTTTCATTTCTTTATTTCTCTTTACGTTATTTTCCATAAATTCTGTGCGGTTTGCGTGAGAAAAGCTGTTAAATCGCGTGAGAGACGTTATTTACAAATAACCCTCTTGTGAACGAGTAGAAAATCATACGTTAGCGAATAACGTAGGGAGAAGCTTTTTGTGTGGAAAGGCATTAAGCTAGTAAACTAAAAGTATAATGTAGCAACGAGATGTAAGTGCACCTATACCTATAGTCCATAAAACCTCTTTTTGCTGTATAAGTACAAGTTAATAATCTGGCGTTTTTAGGAAGATGATTGATACGAGCGATACAATGCAAATCAAACTAGAAAGTTGTTTCCATATAGACCCTGAACACTCTCAGAATAAACAATTTTATCTACGACAACTATCTGCACCTGAAAAAAAAAGCGTTTCTTCAGCTCCTAATTTCCCCTCTTTCTCATGACAAGTAGAGCGGATATTGGATTTAATATTTTTTATGTAAAAAAACAGACTCGTTTTTAATTTACTGAAAACATTACAATTAAAATGATGTGTTTTAAAATATTTTTTAGACAAAGAATGTTGTTATAAAAATGTGCCATTTCTATCATTATATGTATATGTAGTACACAATGTGCGTTTGTATTTATTAGAAAATTCGCGAACAAGTTATATTTTATTATTTTGAGATTGTGATACAGAATATGCAGAAAAATATTTTGTTGAATAGCAAATCTCATTCTTTGTGTTGAAATAATTATGTACGATGAAACACTTGTATGCTGTTTCGTAAAATAAAATCAAAACTAATATTTTTCTCGAGAGAGATGCACATGAGTGCAGATACTATAAAACAATTATACAGTGTCAAGCTTTTAAAAGACCGATACAATAAATATTTTTCCTTTGTTTGTTTTTAAGAAAAATATGTAAGAGATTTTAATAGATTCGGTAATCTAACTGGAGTAATTTTATTCCAAATTAATCTGATTAATGAAATTATATGTGCCACTATTTGGCGAAATACACGTTCGAAATGGATGGCAATCGGTTTTTGAGAAGACACGTCTATATCGATCTGGGGGTGCCAGAAGCCGTGGCCCTCCTCGCCACGTAAGTCAACTCTTTCTAGGTAAACGACGCGGAACGCGCATTATTGTATCAAGTTACACCGCCGCGCGGCAGTAAAGCGTGCCATTGTAGCTGTAGCGGCAATTGTTAGAACGTAGTGCTGCCGCTCGTCGGTGAATACCCTGGCCGAGGGGGTGGCGCGGGATAGTAGGGCAGGAACATTTGAGCTGTAGTAAAAGTTTGTGGTAAATGTTATTGCAGTCTCGCGTACCGACACCGCGAGCGCACTTTCGAGTAACCCTAGGCTGATAAAGTTTACCACAATCTGTTACCACAATCGAGCCTCGCCCTCGTTGAGGAAAGGAAGGAAAGGGCGGATTAATATCTATACGCCTGTCTGGCCGCCAATATTGAAGCGTCTACCTCTATCTTTACTTTTTCTCTTTCTCCTTCTTTCGAGATCTGCGGGGCGTTAAAGCGAAAACAGGAATTCACCTTTCGTAGATACATGTATAATCCTTTTAAAGAAAATTGTATCAATTTATATCTCGACATATTTTAACTAACAACTTGAATACCATGTACCGTAATGAAAACATTTCAGTTGTCCTTTATGCTTTTCCAGGAATGTCGCTGTCGCTCTCAATGCAACAAGCACAGAAAACTTTCTATTGTGATACGCAATATTTTAAGTGTTTAAATCTGCGTATTTATATTCAGATACGTTCTTTCCTTTTTTATAGCAAAACATGTTTTTCAAACGTACTATGTAACTTTTAATAGCGAGTTGCGAAAGCCACACATGTTATCGCGTTTGGATAGTTTTCGATATTATATCTCCAGGGTAAAGAAGCGCCGAGAGGGTAGAAAATCGAAAAAGACCAGAGTTTTAATTCCGCAAATATACGCGTAAGTGTTCCAGAAAAAAATTAAACGCTGAAAATCAAAAGAAGAGAAAAAGAAACAAACAAAAAGAGGGAGAAGATATTGGTCAATTTATTCTACAAGAATGAAGAACGTTATGCTAATTTAATAAGAAAATTGTGCGGTTGATAAAAACCGTATTGCTTGTAACATTTCTCGTAAATCAAAGAACCGACGGAGTAAGACGGTTCAACAATAAGAATATATTTATAAGCACAACTCAGACGTAGAGAGGAAACTCAAGATGAAAATAGGATCGCTTTTGACTGTAAGAATAATTTAATGCAAAAACGCCCTCATAATTTCGTCGTAACGCGCCGCAAACTCGTTTTCATAATTACACGCAAATATTCTATCGATACGGATTCACATTTGCATATATTTTACTGATTGTGTTATATAATCGTATTTGTGGCCGACATTTGTATCAACGGATTCCAACATAAATTCTATAATTAACTCTTG